GGCTGAAATTAGCAAGCTGATAGGAAATCTCTCTCCAAACAATTACAACACCACGACGTGGCAGTGTTTACGGAACGCGTGAGCAATCGAGGCCGCTCATGTAGAACTGGTCATGTCCAGTACGAGTATGATTGGCATTATTGAGCGCGAACTTAACAAGAAGGAGCAGTGAGCTCCAACATTAAGGAATAGTAGCGTAAATACTGCGTATCATATCACCGATAACGCGATTCATTAGCCTACTTCATCACCGGTCTGCGGATGATCCGCGGTGAACATATCCAATCGAGTGCCTAACATCGTTAAATGGACATCTAAAAGTGCTTGCAAAACGAGGGTCTAGATCAGAGAGTATGGTATAGTTGTTAGTCAAATTTGTTGCCAAATTTGTTCAAGGCACACACAACAATGGCCGAGTGAAGTAGGCGAAAAGGGCTGGTACATTAGGATAAATTCCTACGCCGTTCGTCTCTTCGGATTCAGATGCTGCTTTAGTCCCACGGATTCCGTACAACCAATCATCCAGAAGCCTTCCTGAGCTCAGCAGCCTCTAAGACTCGCACTTCCAGTGACTTCACACCAACGGGTGGAAGCCGACACCTTACGCGCTTTTCCGGTCACAGAGCGCAGTTTACGCCCGACCAAAAGATGTAAGGTGTCCTCGGCCGAGGCCCATCGTCTCGTCACTCAGACAAGTCTTTGTAAAATGGGGCCTTCTCTTAAGGATCTCCAGCTCGTCGTTGACGAGGCTCACAACGGTCCCTGCTACTTAGTTTACCGGCTTGTCGTCGACGAGACTCTATCTTTCGCTGGTAGCGAGCGTTACCCAACGCGGGCTTTCCTAAACTCTTGGCGCTACCAATCGATAATTTTACAAGCTATGCCTCTCGAGGTTGGACAGCAGGCATCATCTAGCCCGCGCAGGGACTTACCTTAAGTGTACGAGTGTCTTGTACTTAGAGAGTTCTGCACTGTATTAGTATATTTCTTTTGCTGTATCGCAAAGCAAGTTTGAGTTGCTATTTGTCCTGCTCAAGTTCTTAATACAACAACGTAATTAATCCGATATTCGATATTTCTAAAACTTTGCACTATAGCGTGGGTTCGTCGACTACAATTCGCCAACCTCCACTTCCTCGACCTCCAGCTCGCCGACCCCGTTTCGCCGACCACCGCTTAGATAGGGAAGTTGGACTTCTCTAAACCACAGAAAATAGGCATGGGCAAACCTTGCTGACGATAAACGCGATCTAGGAACAACTGAAATGTAACTTCACCATCAATGGTATCCGGCACAGCCGCCAAATGAGCAATCTTGCTCAAACGGTCAACAATGACCTCAATACCTGTGTTGTTATCCGAATCCTCCGGGAGACCAAGCACAAGATATGTAGCCCATCTGCTTTAGCTCTTTTCCAAAGGAAGGCTTTTTGCTCAACGAGCAGATTAGTTCCCGATAAGAACTCGACTCTATGAGTCACCAAGCTGAACGCTTGAGGAACTTGTTTAAGGGACCTAACTATTCAGCAAATTGACATCACAAAGTGATCCAGAGTCTACGCCTTATCAAGGCTTGACTGCTCTTACACGACCTGAGACGCCTTAGCAAGGCACTTGCCTCTAACAGATAAAAAGGGGAACAGAACTTTAACTGTTTGTGTAAAACGGCTAACTTAGCCTAAACGTATTTAAACTAGAAACGAATACCCTAATTAGTGGCCCTTATTGATCTCTTGTCCGGTGGCCGACACACGTCATCTCCAACAAACTGATAAGGGATATTTATATCACTATCAATGGGACCTCATCCCAAGAGTTTACCACACATGGCATTTACAGGTTGTCAATCGACGTTCAATCCCGTTACATGCACGGCTTCTCAACTGTCGTGTACGTTTCGTCGCTGTATTCCTACCGGCGCAATGGTACACAACCTCAGTCCCCTTCCTGTCAGCTGTTACTGCTATCGTATACATAGACCGATACACATTTCGTCTGTCCACAATGTGATCTTCGATACAACAGGTTTCGAACCATTCTTTCCTGCAGTCTTGGCTGCTCCAGCGCCCTAAACTCGTCTCAAGCTTCGTATCTTCTGATGTCACTCGCTGCGTACTTGTCACATTCTGGTAAATGTTGATTGCAGCTTGAAGTACCAACGTATGGTCGCCGTGTTAGTCGCTCTCCGCAAAATTTGTGAGTCCCCCTCCTGCACTGATGGTCTAAAAGTTCCTCTGTCGTTTTTTCGCACTCTTTAAACCCACCTCCCCTCGCTTCCATCGTCGATATGCAATCTTATAGCTTTACTGGAAGCGAAGCATGCAACTGCCAACCAGACACAACAGCACCGTCACTGGCTGAGCTGTTTCACATATAACAACACTTCCTGACGATCTGCATCTGCTGAAGTGACAATCCCCACTCGTTATTCTAACAGCACGTTATTTACGTCTTCTTATGATGGCGGGCGCAGCCACGATTGTTGCTCGGCTTCATCGCTGTTGGACGAACACCGCCTTCTCGTCAAAGCATATTCCTTTGCGATCAATCTAATGCTGAAGCAGAGAAGCTGTTATTTCTTTAGGAATAGATAAAGCACGACTGGGTCCATGCACCATTTTTTTTACATATCACACCTTTTACTATGGCATGCTTCCTTGTAATGCATTGAGCTGAGTAAGAGCTATGGGCAATAGGACCGCGTAGAGTTTGTAGACGGACAGCGGTACAACTGTTGACCTGAATCGATAACTCGTCTACCAGGCAGAATGGTCATCCTAGCGAAAATTGCGATGCACGTGTGCACTATCTTAACCTTGGCTTTAGCTTGATAACGCATAGTCCTAAACGAGATCAAGTACAAAACCAAGCTGATTGCATGTGAAAGGCTTGTGTTGATAGAAACAAGTCTATCGTGTCGTGGAAAGCGTCATGTTGTGGCACTTGATAAAAACGAATTCCAATTCCTCGTCAATCGGCTTTGCATCGCACGTAGAGCGCGGTTTACTTTTGTAGCTGTGTACAGTGCTCACTTTGGTAAGTTACAGGTTTCGTGAACGTAGTTTGCAACCTCTTAGCGGAGGTCAACGCTTTCGGACCATTCGATCACGCATTCCCGTACGGCACCATACACTCTATTGATCCAAAGCGAACTGTGGCAAACAAAAGGAGCACCCATCACCCAGCCATCGACACCTAGAACACGGCGAAAACCAACTGCGAGGATGCTGATGTTGGAATGCTGACGAGGCGATACCCGCCGTCTTTGTCTAGATGTAGCACGTGTTCAAAGGTCCACGACAAGCCCCCAATTCCCTTCCGTGTGGCGTGAACTTCAGTGCAAGCCGTAGGTATGCAGTAGATAGACCGTGTCTCCTTTCCAATGACAGTGTACTGATACAAATCTCGGACAAAGTAAAGCTTGCCAATGTCAAGGTCCAGTCTCTTTCACTGCCAAAGAGGACGACCATTGTCCAGCCGACGATAGCTGCATCGCCTCGGCATTTAAGCGGGACACTGCCGTTACCATCGGTAGAATCCGATCGATGGTGACGATCATGAGGGGATCTATGGTATTTGCAAAGTCGATCAACTGACTGCCATTTGCTGGACAATAGCTGCCTAGATCGAGATCTCAATCATCACCATTGTCAGTTGCTACGACGAGACAAGAATGTTTGCCAAACCTCCTGTCTATCCAGCTGCTGTGGAGGTGGCGCGGAAATGGACGGTTTAGAGAAGACAAACGAAGAGGAGAGCAAACTGGAGGAGGAGTTGGGGCTAAGGCATAAACGACGCTTGTTTGGAATCCCACACCGATGTGGTCTTGCTTGATCACATCGTTGAGGATGCGAGTGCGCAGCCGCAGCTGATCAGAGACGGGATTTTAGAGGAGGTCCGAACGTCATAGGAGGCCCAACGAAACGGTAGACCAGGCCGAAATGTGGCACTGGTCGCAAAAAGCTTTGGAGGGACCGAAAAAGGTAATGTCCCGCGTACTCTCTGCTCTCTGCGCGATGTGTTCCACGATAGTCAACGAGCTACTACACGAGTTTTACGGAACCCTCCAAATTGACATTTGCGAAGCACACGGTACTAATTCGACTCACGCCTTGTGGTTTGAGTTACGTGTCCGTCGCGACAAAACATGTTTTCATTGACGGTAGTGTTTGATACGTATCCTACTACGCTGCAACGAGCCGACTTTTGTTCAGAACACCTTCTTCTGAGAAGTTTTATCGCCTGTTCTGGCCATACCTTACACATCATGCCTTATCGGCCATCGGACGAACTTGATGGACGCAAAAAATGTGGCAGCTTACCGGCAGATGCAACAATTTGTACGACGAGTCACAGGAAGAAGCATTCTACAACATCCGTTTTCTGGTTCGTTTTGCTCTGTTCCTGTTGTGTCTTAGGTCTCTTTCTTCCCGCTGCGCTCGTGCTAAAACCCCAATGCTGTAACTTGGTCTCACTTTGGATGAAAACGGGTATCATCGTACATGTCGCTTATGCTGTCAGCATGCAGGACTTCTGATGTTACACTGTTGTCGAGACCCACCGCTGTCTGGCCAAATTTTGTTATGTGTTTCCATATGCACCATTCGTTGACAGGCAGGGCTGCAAATAAAAGACACCGATGGCATTGGTAAACCTAGTTTCCTATTCACTCCTGTTGTGCGTGGTACCCGATGCCTTATCACATTTGAATGATGTGAGTTCTCTGTCCACGTTCTGTCGTAAATGGTACGCGGTGTCGTATCACCATTGTTTTGATTGCAAGGTGCTCAGACATGACCTCGATAGACGTGATCTTGAGCATAGGTGAGACGGAGTCGGATACTACAGATATGCCACCGAGTTGCGCACAATCTACCGCATAGTGCATCTTCATTGCTTGTAGCACCTATCGACGGTCGCGCACAGCAGACCCGTGACTGATGTCAGGTGCGTACTACCATGAGATCACTACCTCCCACATCTCCAAAACGCGTATACAGTCATCCTTGATTCCCGCGGTGATGTTCGTGCGACAAGTCTCGGACCAAATGAAGCGCATGAGGCAGCACTTCCGCAATCGCAGCAAAGTTTTCGACTACAGCTTTCGGCTTCCCTGGCAGAGTTACAATCAGCGTTCGTTTCCGAATGCCTGCCACAGGACGAGACAGCACAGCTTTAGCTGTTATCTTGAGCGAGCTTTCGAGCATCGCAATCGGGAACCCCGGAATTTCTTTGTCCAGCACTGCCTTGACTGCTTCTGGCGTAACGTCACGGGGACTTAGGCCTGTGCCACCGGAAGTGAGGATCAGATCGACCGTGTCGGAGTCTGACCACTCCTTCACCACAGCTTGAATCTCGTTTATTTCATCGGGCACGGTCTTGACAGCCACCACCTCGATTCGGACCTTGCCAACTTGACGAAGTACACCTGCCATCGCCGGCCCGCTCATGTCTGTTGCAGTACCAGCAGACACACGATCGCTGATCTGCAACTCACAGAAGTCAGACATCCAACGCGACCGTGACAGCAAAAGCCACTGATGCATCACGAGCACGTACCGTCAAAAGTCCAGCTCGAAAGACTTTGTCCAGCACATTGCACTTCTCTGGCGCAGATAATTGGGGCGAAGAAACAGCGTTCTGGACTGGGGCGGGCGTGATGGCCATGATATTCGTGGTGTTGCCAAAGGTACTGTCGAGCATCAAGGCTGCAACAGCCTGGCCTTCAGGCGCTTCGATGCCTGTCGGCAGACAAAGTAGAGCATTCGCATTGCGACAGCTAGCAGACGGGCAGAATAGTATAGACGAAACACGTCAGCTGCATACGAAGCACGACACTTGCTCTCTAGTTGACCGGGCGCACCTTAGTAGGCGGGAACTGATCTGGCGGCCAGTACTCGTAGCTAGAAATTTGTGCTCTTTGCTGTCCCATACCAAGCAAGCACGGTGAAACTCAGGACGGTCAGCGTCCAGCTTGATCGAGTGCGTCAAAACGGCGGAGACTGTTGCGTTGCGACACTTCGCAAGTGAAAGTCCACGAAGTCGTTGCAGCGCTGGGCGAACCAACAGATGGCATGTCGTAAAAGAGCTCACGGGATTGCCGGGAAGAGCAAAGACCAGCTTCTTTTTGCCACCCACATCTAGTGTCGCAAACGTGGTCGGCTTGCCAGGCTTCATCAACAGTCGACCAAAGTGGACGGTGCCAAGCTCTTCCAGAAGAGGTTTCACGTAATCGTGTTCTCCCATGCTCACACCGCCGCTCGCAACTAGCACATCAACCTTCTCCAGCGCCTTCAAGATAGTTTCTCTCAACTCCTGCTTTCTGTCACTACACACACCCAATTGCAGCGTCTTGGCGCCCCACCGACTAAGTAGTGCGAGCAGCATTGGACGATTGCTATCTCGAATCTTGCCGGGTGTCGTTTCCCCCTGGAACGATTCAACTAGCTCGCTACCCGTCGAGAGAACGCCAACTACAGGTTTCCGGTGTGCTACAACTTTCGTTATTCCTGCCTGTGCACACAGCAGCACCAGAATATCCGTCACACACGTCGTTCATATGATACAACAGCATGTACAACTCTTGACAACGTCAAACACATCAAACACACTTACTGTCGCGAGCAGTCCAATCTCAGCAGCAGAAATGAGTTCATGGTCGTCCACGAGCACTTCACCGGGGATGATATCTGACCCGATAGGACGGATGTTCTGGCCCACCTTTCCAGCCTTCAAAATGGTCACGGTCGCTTCAATTCCCTCCTCCTTGTCATCGTCTACACTGCTCGTGTCTTCAATCTTCACCACAGCATCGGCCCCATTGGGAACGGGGCACCCCGTCGCGACGTACGACACCTGTCCAGGTTCGATTGTCCTCACGGGCGTATCCCCCGCGGCAATGCGTTCCACAACAGCAAACTGGAGCAAAAAAAGGTTCCAATATAATTAGGTCATTTCGGCATAATTATCGCCACTTGTTGTAGCTGCCCAGCCAATCAACTCTCAACAAGCACAAACGTACCGTCCCCTCTTTGTCTGCAGCAACAACTGCGTAGCCGTCCATGATACTCGCCCGAAACGGCGGTAAAGACTCCTGCATCCAAGTCAGTTATTTGTAACGTCACGTCAAAGACATGAGATCTCGTTTTGCTTGATATAAAAAGCAAAAAAGCGTCACCTACAGTGCTGTGCACCGGCTCGGCCAGCACAAAGCCGTCGGCTTCACGGGCCTCAACGCACACGGCGTCTAATGGATCCGACTGCTGCAGCACCATCTCCACAGCATCGTCCACGGATGTCATGCCGTACGCGCTTTCCCGCCGCCGGACAGACACGCCTATGTCCCCGCAGTCACAGTCGCACATCAGTATCGCGGATTGTATCTTAAAAGCGGAAAACGTTTATACACTACGAATGATAAGTAAAAGCAAACCCGCACTTTTAATATCGACAAGTTTGGTTTTTTACACCATCGGTCGGTAGCAGAAGGGAATAAATAAAGATAGTAATGAGCACTTAACTTTGCCACGGTGATGGCCGCCTGATACTGTAGAGCGTGCGCTCACCTCGCTGTGCGACTAACTGAACTCATTGCCGGAAAAATATCAACAGTGTGCAAACAGATATGCACTTGTCGAATCTGCAGAAAGAATTGGTCAACATGTAGTAAAGACGGCCGGGTCGGTCGTCCTATTTCCGGCCGGCTTGGGATGGACGCGACGATCCTGTCTTTGCAAAAGCATATCGATTTATCACCAACGTAATACTGGCATGTTCTACGAGAAAAATACATCGATACATGGCATGCCTTCTTCCGATTCTGGGATTGTATCGATACGTGGTGCTGCTCTTAAATTGCTGACGACCCCAATCTTGCGATCTTGAGTCTAGGTAGTAGCAACAACATTTGCGGTATCCTACCGAGCATACTTATAAAAGCCAAGCGACGGTATCGTCTCGCGGTATACGACGCATCGAAGGTTTGTCGTGCAGCGGAAACTAATGGTCGCCACAGGAAGCATGTGAAAAGGTGCCGTCAACACAACACAGCGGCCATCGCGCGGAGCTCTCGCAACATGTGGAAGGCAAGGAACCACCTACCGATTCAGCGATTTCGCCCCCTGTAGTATTCACATGCTTTTTTTGTCTTTTCGCGTAGTGCAAGTATCACTTGCGAATTACGTTGTCGATGAAGAAGAGCAAGTTCTTGAGCTCGCCTTTAGGTATCAGTATAGAAGTTGTAACGGGGTGAGCCCGTTACATAAAAATTGGTACGAAAGTACCAGTTTTTGAATATTATCTATTTTGACAATATTTAAATGACATCACTCGAAATGAGTGATGCTGTCTGAATATTACCTCTGAAGGTAATATCCGTGGAGGGGTCCACTTCATGGTTGATGTATTGTGTACATCAATTAACCTAACCACCTATCGCTGCTGGACGCGCGCAATGGGTGGTGAGCAAGGGACCCACATAGGAGAAGTAAGTTGAATATACTTATAGTAAGTCAAAAGATGATTTATTACATTATAACTATATTAAACAAACAGTCCTACTTTAGCCTCAATACAGAGCTGTAACGGGGTAGTCTATTACATGATATTGTCATTAAGGATAAAATGACAATAAAGAATATTACGATGAATATTCCTTCAACAATATCACAGAGCATGATGATATTGTTGAGGATGACCGAAGGGTCTACTCACTGGTTGATATCGCGATGATATCAACCCATCAATCGCTGCTAGACGCGCGCAATGGGTGGTGAGTAGACGTCATCATACATTTAGTTACACTAGTATACTTAAATCAGGACAAACAAGAGATACAAGAGTTATAGGACTTGATTTCATTAATACAGTTTTACTTTTCCTACGACTAGAGTCTTTCACCTTAGTCGTTCTACCTTCCTCTGTGTATTTCTACTCCAATCTGAGCACTGTCGACCACTGCCGTCAGTGGAAGTGAACTCCGTACTGGTCAACCAGTACGTAGTTATCGGTGCCCCGTTACACCTGGTAGCACTTTGTAGTCCGTCCAAGGACCACACTCGAATCGCCCAACATGAACATGTTGAAAGCAGTCGATGGCGACAGCTTTCACGGAACCCGTGAAAGCTACTCTCATTTGAGCGATATCGAATGGAGTGCGATCGAACGAATGAGTTCGACCGTAGGCGAAGAAGCTATCTGGGCCATGCTATCCACAAGGATTGGAGACCAGCAACATGTCGTCATTAGCAAGGTCTTGCAACGAGAACTTGATTAGTCGCGAGCGCAGGTGACCTTGTTGCAACAACAAGATCACCAGCGGAACGAAGAACTGAGACAATCTCAGTCCGCGCAGTCGACACGGGATCGTCGACCGGGGTCTCTAAAGCTAGAGATCTCCAAGTATCACGGAGTCGAGGACCACTCCCTGTTGAGGTGGTTCGTCGAGCTGGACGATGCCATCGAGGCCCGTCGCATCGACGATGAGCGAACGCAAGTCTCATTCGCTCAGTCTAATTTGGCAGGGGAAGCCAGGAATTGGGCCTTGAATCTCAAGTTGCACGACCCAAATGTGTTTGGGTCGTTGAGGATCTTCAAGACCCTGCTCAGCGAGACGTTTGAGCCTCCCAGGGTAGAGTTCAGGACACTATGTTAACTCCTCGGAATCAAACAGGGTAAGCGTAAGATTCACGCTTACGCTCAGCACGTACGCTACCTTGCAAGATGCATGGTAGTGAACCCAGTGAGTGAATTTGTGTTGATCACAATATTCATTCAAGGGCTGTCCGATGGTCCCGTCAGGGACCACCTATTCCGCGGAGAGCTAAAGACGCTCTCCGAAGCAATCTTCGCTGCGGAGTAAGAATATTATAGTGTGAGACAGGCTCACGATACGTTGACCCCGCATCGTCCAGAGAGACGATTACCAGTCGGAGGTCCAGAACCAATGGACCTCTGTAATGTTGAAAGCGAGGAATTACGCTTTGCGAATGACAAGCAATCGGTGAGATGCCATCGCTGTCACAAACTGGGGCACTACGCAAATGAATGCATTGTTCCCCACTCAGCACCTCGCGGTGCTGAGTGCAGTAAACGTTCACCAGTAAGAAGAACTGAAGGGCAAGGGTCCGATGCTGTTGCAAAGCCGCAACAGCGAGACCAACCATCAAAAATTGGTCGGATCAGTAGGGGCGGAGCGCCCTACTGATCCAGCAACATCAAGAGAATTTGCAAATTTCTTGACAAAAGTTGCTCCAGACACACAATCATTGTGTGTCTCTGCACCTGGTGATGACGTTTCGCTCATCACCTTGAAGTTTGAAGCGACAAATGATTTGTCACTTCTTGCCCTAGTAGACTGTAAGGCGTCGAACAACTTAGTTTGACGCCAGTCACGAGAGGGTCGTACGCTCAAGTTCGTTGAGCGCGACATTCCCTCACGAGGATGACGGTTCGCCTTGCTACAGGCGCATCGATTACCGTTAATAAACGTGTAGTAGGAATCCACCACACGTTAGAGGGCGAACAGTACGATGATGATTTTATCGTACTGGATCTGGATGACAAATTTGATGTCATCCTGGGATTACCTTGGCCCAGAAAGTACGAGCCAAGGGTGAGCTGGCAGCATCGATACGTGAAGATGCATGCCGCTTGTTCATCAGATGGCCGTCTGATATACGTCTTGGAGCGTCCACAAGCGTGTGGATGTTCTGCGAGTGAGTGGTATGGCCTCAATTGCGGTACGGTCGTTTGCACGACTGCACAAGACGACAGTGTAGATGATCACTACACTGTGGAGCAAGCTCCCGGCGGATGTACAGAGGCACAGGTAGCGCCGGAGGTCCACCACTCGGATAATTCGAGTGGACCGGGACATGGATTCATGCCTAGCGGGCAGCATCTTAGACAAAAGAAACCTGTTGCCTTCAAAGGGAAACATGGAAATCCTAGGTCGACTGGAGAGTCGACCGTAGGGGATCGGTGCCTGAGTGTGGTTGCACAGCCACAGTCAGAAGACGTCGAGGGAATATGTCCCCACGTGCTTGAGGAAGGAATTCCTCAAGAGTCACTTGCTGAGGGATCAGGCCCTCAGCAACTTGTGGAAACAAGTCCCCAGGAAGAAACCGAGACGTTGAACGTCTTGGTTAATGACGGATCAAGCGTAGGCGCTTATACGCTTGATATGATTGTGCCTCCGAAGTTAACTTCCGGAGATAACTCAGTTGCCAACGCTAAAACCAAAACGGTTCTTGCGTGATCTGCGTAGTGGCAAAGTCAAGCAGATCTGCATACTCGTCACAGAGGACGAGCACGTTACTGATATTAGATCGGCAAAAATATTTGCTGAGATCGAACGGGTTCTCAGCAGCTCATCGATGGACGAAAGCGTCATCGATGAGAAGACTCGGATTGAGAGATATGAATCTCAATCCTGGAAGTCGCTCCAGGCAAATACTTTGTGTAAGAATTTGATCGAATTCAAGGATGTATTCCCTGAATCCGTGCCATGCGAGTTGCATAAGGACAAAGGCACTCGACACGAGATCGAGCTCAAACCGGGCTCGAAGTACTGTGTCATGAAGCAGTGGCCACTGCCTCGTGAGCAAGTACTAGCGATCGACAAGTTCTTTGCCGATCGCTTTGCTGCGGGCCACGTGAGGGAATCGACATCCCCTCACATCTCTCCGACCTTCTGTGTGCGAAAGGCCACAGGAGGATGGCGGATAGTGCACGCGTTCAACAAGTTATATGCTGCAACGTTACCGGCTCAGACGCCGATACCGAGAAAGGACGTAATCATAGATGGTATGTCAAAGAGTACCATCTTCTCGTCCATGGATCTGATGGACGGATTCAATCAGATCCTCATGCGTGAACGGGATGTTCCGTACACGGCAGTGAGTACCCCCAGCGGTATGTTGTGGGAGTGGCTAGTGATGCCACAGGGGCTGAGTAAGGCCCGTGCAACATTTAACAGATGTGTTACAAATCTGTTGAGACCGGTGCGTGATATCGCACCGAGTTACTTCGACGATGTATTCGTCCATAGCCGGGCTATGGACGGAAAGACGGACGTTGAAGCTCACAGATCTCACGTTCGTCAAGTACTTCAACTTATGCGCAAGCATAAGCTGTATGACAATCTCAAGAAGTGTATATTTGCGGCAAGCGAATTACCACTTCTTGGGTGCATCGTGGATAAACACGGCATACGCCCTGACCCCGAAAAGATCAAGGAGATCACCGACTGGCCTGTGCCAGTCGACGTCAAGGGACTTCGAAAGTTCCTTGGGCTAGCGGCGTACTTGCACAAGTACTCGCGCAATCACGCCAAAATGACTGTTCATCTTTCTTGCTTGCTCAA